AAAAAAAAAAAAAAAATCTGTGAATTATGTTACAGAGCAAACTTTCTGTGAAGAACCAAACAGTAAATATGTTAGGCTTTGCAGGCTATATGATTTTGTGGCAACCACACAGTCTGCCTCTGTAGCACAAAAGTAGCCATATACAATATATAAACTGGTGTGACTACATTCCATTAACATTTATAAAAGTAGTCACCTGGGTTCGGCGCCTGTGGCTCAAGTGGCTAAGGTGCCAGCCACATTCACCTAAGGTGGCAGGTTGGAATCCAGCCCGGGCCTGCCAAACAATGACGGCTGCAACCAAAAAATATGGGCATTGTGGCAGACGCCTGTGGGTCCCCAGCTACTTGGGAAGCTGAGGCAGGAAGACTCACTTAAGCTTAGGAGTTGGAGGTTACTGTGAGCTGTGATGTCAGAGCACTCTACCCAGGGGGACAGCTTCAGGCTCTGTCTCAAAAAAAAAAAAAAAAAAAAAAGAAAGTAGTCACCTGACTATTTAGGAGATCTAGGAGACCGAAGTTTGCTACAGTAGACACATTTTTAAAAGTTAAAATAGGTGATATTAATTTTAATGTACTTGAAACAATATTTCTAAAATGCTATTATTTTAACATGTAGCCAATACTAAGAAACTATTAATAAGAGTATGAAAAAGAAATCTAATTAACTTTGGAATCTGGTATTTAATAGCAATCTCAATTCAGACTAGTTATATTTCAAGTGTTCAATACCTACATGTGGCAATATAGTTACCATACTGAAAAGAGTATGTCTACAGAAATGACTAAAATGGTTATACCCATTTTACAGATAATGAAAGTGGGGCCTGTATTCGCTTTTTTTGCTCAAGTTCCACTCCATCTGCTTTATCCCTATTGCTTCCCCCCTTTTCTTCCCCTTAAATACAAGCATCTCAAGACACTTAAAATGTCACTGACTTGGCCATTTGCCACAAACTTCGTGGTGACATTTCCAGTATTGTTACATGTGCAAATGTTCATAGTGTTTCTAACAATAATATGAACTTCTCTAAAACAGAAGAATAAGAGATATTTCATTATACTGTTCTCCACAGAATCTCTACTTCACTTTATTTGAATACAGGTGGTCCCTGGGGTATGCTACATTCCTAAGAACATCTTTGGTCAGTTTGTATGTAACTCAGATCCCTGATAAATAGTACATATACAGTCACAACAACAACAAAAACAGTATAATGGCTCATATGGGGTAATGACACAGTGTAAAAAATAATAACACCCTTGTACTGTAATATTAAGGTACAGAAACTATTGTGCTCTTTCTTTTAATTCAAACAAACATAAAAATATACTTTATAGTATGTTTAGATAGGAGGTAAGAGAAATTATAGGTTAATTTCACCTAACACTCCATCAACGCTTGGCTACTAGGAATGTTACTCCTTATTTTATTTATTTATTGAGACAGAGTCTCACTATGTCACCCTTGGTAGAGTGCCATGGCATCACAGCTCACAGCAACCTCCAACTCTTGGGCTTAAGTGATTCTCTTGCCTCAGCCTCCCAAGTAACTGGGACTATAGGCACTCACCATAATGCTTGGCTATTTTTTTTTGTTGTTGCAGTTGTCCTTGTTGTTTAGCTGGCCTGGGCAGTGTTCGAACCCGCCAACTTCAGTGTACGTGGCTGGTGCCATAACCACTATGCTATGGGTGCCAGACTTATTTATTTATTTATTTCACACAGAGGACTGAGATGGGGAAAAAGGCAAGGATTTAATTTTTTTCTTTG